AGCTGCCACATTGATTAGCCCAAGGGTCCATCTAATCCACCACTCCGTTCCCTGTGGCAATGAGCAGTGAGTGCGTAGGAAGGGAGCAAGAACAAGCGCAGCACACGCCGATCCTTCCTCCAGCATCTGGCCACACGTAGCTTAGGAACTAAGCCAGAAAAATTAAATACCAGAATTCGACTGATTTTGTATTCAACAGTTTAAGGTAGATGTAAAGGTTTTAAATGTTTACAACAGTTTAAAGGAAAAAGTGAGAGAGGAAAGATACTATTTTAGCTGCATTAGTATTCACATTTTTTACTGCCTCTGCTCAAGCAGCGGAGGATCTGCACAGCCTGCGCAGGCTGCCACCTCTTCAGTATGCCAAATCCTCTTCAAATATTTGTTTTTTAATCAACAAATGATTTGAGCTGCTCTGTTTATTCTCTGTCTTTTTAAGAGCTCCTGTTCTGCATTTGAATGATGAAAGCCTACAGCTCTTTCAAATCTAGGGTTGTATTTCTGAGCCACCTCTTTCAGCACTTTTTGCATTTCCTATGACAATTCACAGAATTAATTATACTGCCAATCCATTTGCATTTTCCAGTTTACAATTCACAGGAGTGTAATAAAGAATTAAGCAATGTTATCAGGTAACTCCCCTTGAAAAGAAGTGTACTGGCTACTTGTTACAATTTAGCATTGCTCTTGTGAAATCAGTGGTAGCATTAGTCATTCTCAGGAGAAAAAAGGAAAAATATTGGTGATTTTCATTATTGAAATTAGATAAAAAGTGAATCTGTTAGGAAAAAAAGGAAAATAACCACTCAATAGTTGTGAAAGTTGAATAAATTTAAGTCTAAATCTATCTCAAAAGATGATTTAATACCTCCTCTTCTTTGAAGGCTAGCTGGATGCCTGGCAGATCTTATCTAATGTGTTATTGATCCAGTGAAGGTGATTTCAAACGAGGTCTGCTTCAGTGCTTTATTACTCTTATACTTGGATTTTTTTTCTCCCTAATATTTAACATAAATCTCCCTGAGTTCAAATTAAAGCCATTATTTCTTGTCCTACCTTTCATCATACATTGGCTCATTAATCACCTTTTTCAGTAAATTGCTACACAGTCTGTGACATCTACAAGGAAGACCGGGCAATGGATATAAAACAAATGCGGTTCCTCCACAAATCACATTTTCTAAGCTTCCTTTCGGTCTTGCTGCCTTCAGGAAGAATTACTTTTCTCTCTCTGTCCCACCATCACACCAGGCTGAAAGTTACATTCGATGCCTGATCAACACGAAGCAGAACAACATAACTGCCTGCTGTGCCCTTCACGGTATTCTTCGATGTATTTAGTTATTTATAATGTCATACTCGGGCTCCTATTTATTGTAATTCCATATTTTTTTCTGCAGCACTACTGCCTAGGCAATTAGTCCCCATTTTGTATTTGTGCATTTGATGTCCTGGTTTTACAGATAGTACTTTATATATTTTATGAAATTTCTTCCTGTTGATTTCTCCAACCTATTCAATATTTTTAATTTTGATCCTGTCATTCAATGTGCTTGTAACTTCTTTCGACATGCTGTCATTAAAAAGCTTTTATAAGCACCATTTTAATACCATTATTCCAGTTATTGTGAATAATACTGATTAGCTCTTGGGGCAAAAAAACACCCCATCTTCTTGCGTTTATTCCTCCTACTTTGATAACCCTTTATTAGGAATGATTGGTTACTTTTTCCCTAGATGATATATTCTTATATGGGAGAGCACAAAAAGACACATTTACTACAAAATAACACACCTACTATTTATTTCCTCTTCATCCATTAAACCAGCTGTCCTACCAAAGAATAAAATCAGATTATTTGACATATACTCTTGACAAATCTGTGTTGGCTGTTCATGGGTGATGCTGAGTGTTTATTTGTAAACGCTTCCTGGATTAATATTGTTTTGTCATTTTGCTACTTTTCTAATGGCTCTCTGGATGTTGAGCTGAGCCTGATGGACTCAGAATTTCCTCAGAGCCCCTACTCTCTTCCTATCTGTAAAGGGTAGTGGGGAAGGAAGGATAGGTAATTTTTTTGCATTAAGACCTACACACACACACACACACTCATCGGTCATTTGGGAACCCTATTTTCCATGGAATTCACTGAGATAATTGTTGCTAATATTTCAAGGAATGTATTTCTTTGACTATTTCTAAAGAGAACTGAAAAATAGTCTAGAAACTATTTTCATTTGATAGTATACTGCATCCAAAGTTACAGATGTAAAGATGCATGATCTCTGAACATACAGAGAGTAATGAATGCACAGGATCCAAGGGTAAGTGATTTTAGCACTGTTAGCTTTGTCTACAGGGATGCCAATGCACATACAACACATGCTTCCACTAGCTTTTATTTCTTTAAAAATAAAGATGCAATTTTATCCCTAGCTTAGCCCACGAATATACTGCAGAGGCCACAACACAAAAAACTGTAACTGAAGGAGATTTATATTTCATGTGTTTTCCTATGACTACATCATCCATCTGCGCTTGCTTATAAAGAGATTTAGTCTTCACGTTCAGTCTGCTCCTACTATGGCCATTAGCAAATATTAAACGTGAAAGCTAGTTTGAGAGCAAGGCAATATAGAAATGTTTAGCTTTCCTTCCCCCGTACTTTCATGTTTTTCTAACAGAGTATTTCCCATGAGTGTACAACTAAGACTGAACAAGAGACCCTTTTGTAAGGTAAGCGTATACCCGTCCAAACACGTGCCACCAAAACTGGAACTAGGAGTGGGGCAGCCTTGGTCCTCTCGCTCACGTCTGGTTTAGAAATACCAGGTATCACGGGGGCGTGTTGGTGCCGCCCCGCCCCGTGTGGTTGAAAAAAACCGGGTAACCCGGGGGGGGGGGGGGGAGGGGAGGAATCTACACAACCTTCCCCCAAAATAAATAAAAACAACTAACCACCAAACCAACCCAAAACCTACCATTTGAAAATTCTGCATTGTTTTGTGCTAGGTGTCTTTCCTGTTTCCCAGGCAACTTCAGAGAGATCTGATGTATTTTTGCATACGTATGTATCGAGTCAAAGAAAACTCAGGAACAATTCTTTATAATAAAGTGGAGTTAAAAGAACCTGACATTGCAATTTGCCATTATTAAAATGTAATGGCAACTTTGTGTCAGAAAATTGACACAGATTCATTCAGCAACAGAGGGAAAAAAAAG